CCAGCGGGAGTCCCTGCAGCGGCTGGACCGGTGGTAAGACGTCCTACAGCCTCTGCACCTCCAGCAACGGAGACGACTGGAAGGGGGGCGGGTGGCGGGTGGCATGGGGAAAAGAAGCGGGGTATGGAAGAGTTGGAAAGTAGTAAGAAGAACGGGTCCAGATACGGTGCAGTAGGGAAGTATGGGATGGGATGGCGGGAGGATGTGAAATTTGGTCCGGAAGACAGGTGCAGGTGCATCGTCTATGTGTTTGGGACCATCATACTTGTTGACATGACAGTTACCTGTTCCAAGCAGACACACTTACATTCACATGCATACGGTAATCCTACCACATGGGTAAATGTATCAGAACCCCAGAACACGATGGCTGGGATGTCGAACACCTGCGCCGCCAGGAACTCCGTCTTGTATGCTGCCAGGAAGTGCTGTTTGCCCTAGGACCTCTGTCCCGTCTCGACCGTGTCACACATCCCCGTGGATCCCACAAATGGGCCTCCCACTTGTTGGCGTTACGGCGCATTAGAGGGGAGGGGCAGGGTAAGGGGCCAAGAGGGGACTGGGCGGTGGCCGCTACCCCTCCCCTCACATGCACCGTAACGCCAACAAAAGTGGGAGGTCCCTTTGTGGGATCCGACGGGGATCTGCAGGAGACGTGAGCCGGGACAGAGGTCCAAAAGCAAACAGCACTTCTTGGCAGCATAGAAGGCGGGGCTACTGGCGGCACAGGTGTTGGGCATCGCAGCAATCGTGTTCTGGGGTCTCGATACCCTTACCCATGTGGGTCACCAAGATTACCGTATGCATGTGTACGGCGTGTCTAAGGTGTACAGGATCCCTACATAGCTTTATGTCTGATAATGAACGGCCAGTGAGAGGGCAACCGCCCAAGGGTGTATCCTATTATGGATTTGTCCCCAGCCCGCCAACCCTTTCCTCTTTTCATGAGGCCCCGCCGTGGGTTTATGCTACGCTAATACCGAATGAGGCATGGGTCCCGTCCCCAGCTTACGGTTGCAGCTCTTACCCAATTCGTCTTGCTCCATCCCGGCCTGGTCTCAACTCACGACGAGAAGGCGTTACGGTTGATTGTCGACGCAGCCGGCAGCTGCAGCAGCGGTGGCGGTGGTGCTGCAGGCGCAAAGGTGATAACAGGATTTACAGGACGCAGAACCTGCGCCTGGAGCCATACCATGTAGTACATGGATCTCAATACCTGTTCTCAAACGCCGGACATATAATTAAAGGCGCCTTCTGATGTAAGGGCAAGGGGAAGCGAGTAATGGCGGCCCTGACGATACGACGACAGTGTGTAGACCCCTGCAGCAAGCTCACCACTTCTGCTGATAATTGGCTGATCAAAATACTCACAAAGCAGAAGAATTGTATTCATTTTCATTGAAAATTGGCGAATGGAAATCGGCTTGTAATCTTGGGATATGATCATTGGCTTTATATATGGATTTCCCTAGTTATCGGCAGTACAAAAGGCCTACGAGGAAGGTGGGCGCAGCCTCGAAGGTGGCGCCCGGTGTCGGTCGTTTCCCTGCCAATCCGCATCGCCAAATCTCCCGTGCCGAGGCAAGGGCTTCCTAGGAGGTCCCAGGCAGCTGTCCTGTCCCCACGTCCTATATGGTTGCCGATAAGCCTGCCCTGGCCTGGCTTAGCGCCTAGATAGGCACGAGCCTAGAAACCATGATGTTATCTATTTTTTGACGGCCCCAGTAACCGCAACCCTCCCATGCATGGGCGCTATTACAGGGTTGTTGATGGCCCCTGCGCATGGGGAGGGGCTTTGCGGACATTTTGAGGACAGCGACACACCAGGCCCACCATCGCAGCATAACATGTTGCTCCATGTTGCTGCGACTTACGGCAGCGCCCTTACCCGCAAGCATATCCCGTTGGCCAATGGCCCACGAGTCGCCCTCTATCTCCTCTCCCCCTTACCTTCCTTACCCCATCCCCAAACACATACACACGGAGCCCTCGTTCCTTGCTACAAAGCCCCCAAGATACGGTTTTGGCCCACCCCCGCTGATACCTAGTTGGACTGCCCCTTCACCGTAACTGTCGAAGGGATCCAACTCCGTTGAATATCTCCATCATCAGGCCGGCGAGTATCTCCCCCAAGTACTCTACCTGGTGTTACAAGTGCTACCCTCGCAGACCCCGCACACGCCAAGCCTGTGACGCTGCCACTGCTGCCGCTACTGCTGTTGATGCTACTGCCGTTGCTGCTGTTGTATCTGCCACTGCTGCTACCACTCAACTGTTAAAGCTACCACTTTTGCATGCTGCCACCCGAACTGCTGCTGCTGCCACCCGAACTGCTGCCGCTGCTGCTGCCGCCACCGAGTGACCCATAGGCCCATTGCTGCAGTCCGGCCACCGTGCGGCCGCCGCCATTAACACTGCCGCTGCCATCACATCACGTTATTAGTCGTGCCTCTGGCCCTGGCAGCCTTACGCCGTCACCCTGCTGGCTCCAGTGCTTCTTTCATTATCACCGACGGGAAGGGCCCGAAGCCCCCATATACCGACACGCCATGTCAGCATATGGACTCCTTGTTGCGAGGTCGTTTCCTTTAACGCCACTATCGCATATCCTTCACTAGCAAATGCCGCACCTGATTCAGTTGCTGCCCCTGCATACTAGGAGAGAATGAACCAGTACAAGTTCGTGCATGTAGCACATCTTGGGGCTGCAGATTCCACAGCTCCGGGCCCAGCGGCAGCAGCGCCAGCAGACTAATGGCAACACTGCTTGAGCGCTCCATGTCCCCTGACTTCCCAACCGCCGTCCCTGGTCATCACTGGCCTTGTCATGGACCTGCTGACTCACAGAGATGACAATTGCAACAGCCGCGATCAATGCCTACCTATGCAAAGAGGCTGGACGTGCGAGAACACCTTGGGTGAACCCAAGGGGGGGCCCCACCGGGGCCGCCGGGGTCAAGGCGTGCCGTTACCATCATTGAATGAGGACACCGCTGTGATGGAGCGCGCCCTGGGTAGCTTGCTCACGCGGACGCCCCCTTCCCCCAGCGATTGCACCAAAGACTGATGAGCTATAGGTTGTGCTGTTAAGGATTAGAGGCCAATAGGCCCAACGACCGTGATGAGTGCGCCTCACGTACCTGCAGGCTTTGTAACTTCGGAGCGGTGGAAAACGAACAGCATGCGCTTGGGAAATGCCCCGCTTATGATGACTTGAGGGCTGGTTATGGGCGTGGACTCGAGTTTCAAGGGCGCAACATGCGCACCGTTATGACCGAGGGGGCCCCGCCGGCATTACCTGTCTTTTATTATTTCCTTTATCTCTAGGTTGGGAGACAGCGTTCCTACGCTTTGCGCTTCGGCGGGAATGGGAGGATGACGATAATCGCCCCCCACACCGTAACGTTTTCACTAACGGTCCACGGGGTCCCCGGCTCTGACGGACCCCGCACTTGTGCTGACACAGTAAGTGTACATGTACCTACTTTGAGCCGCGATTTGCTTGACCGTCGTACCACTATATCTGCTGGAAGCTAGGTTGCAGCGGGCAGGTCACTTCCCAATGGTATTGGGCTTCCAAGTTCACAGCCGTCCACCCATGCATCCAAGGACAACGAAGCCTCGAAGATATCTGCGTGGATAAATATAGGTGGAAAGGAGGGCCGGAGTGGAGTGAGCTCCTCCGAGTGTGTGAACGGCGGTCGGTAGAGTAACGGCAGCTGGTCCAAATTACAGCCGCTTCGGCAGGATTGGGCCGGAGTGGGGTTTATCCCGTAAAGTGGTCTAAGGCACTGGCATGCACAAGGCCACGGCACGAACCTCCCTACGGGTACAGCGTGGCCCCCTTTATTAGCGAAATAATTCAACGTTGTGTGTGAGGCGGAGGCCACGTTGCCTTGAGGCTGCAGCATCTGCATGCATGCGGCTGTTGCAGATCCGGCCGTCGCAATAGGTGCCTGTAATCGTTGGCACAAAGGACGAGGTAGTGGTAGCACTGAAAACAGCGGTAGCAGCTACAGTGCTGTGCGGCATCGGCGTCGGCGGCCCCAAAAATGCTCCAGCAGCGACCATGCTTCCCCTAATGCCCTTGCTTCCTATGTAGCGTTTACATGCTCCGTACCTAGCTTGCGGTATCAAGGCTCTTGGGCTTTTGGCTCGTCTGGGCTCGTTACACCCTCTCATACAGACACAGTGTGGAGGTCCAAGCAAAACATGCGGTGATTTGGGACAATGGCACTGGGCGGGGAGAAGCGCAGTTGGGCAAGGCTGAACTGAGCAACCGCGCGGAGCGGAGACAACACCGATGCTATAGATCTCTGTAGGTTTTCTGAGAGCAACGAAAGAAAACCAAGGTTTTCTGTGTATTTGCCGAGAGCGTACTCGGCTGTTCGTTGGTGGTACGGCGGGGCCGTACTGGTGAGAAAGTAGGGCAAGTCGCGGAGAGCGCGACGGAAAGAGCAATTTCGCGAGTTAATATAGTCAGTACTGACAGGTTTCCACTGCGTCGTCTGCCCATTACACCGCCCCGCGGCAGATAGCGCAGTCGGTAACCAGGCTCGCCTCCTCCCACGGAAGCAAGCACACTCTTCTGCTCGCAGGTACCCAAGCCCGACTCACGTCTATAAGCGGTAAGGCAACTACTCATGAAAACTGACAGAATATGGAGGAAAGCTAGTTGGCCGCAGCTTGAAGCGAGCTTCCTTTTCGCAAAACAGTTCCACAACGGCCCAACACTACATGATTCAGCACCTAGTCCGCCAGATCACCGATTGACTAGTACCTTGTCATTCGTTCATGACTCTCACAAGCCGGT